AAATTGTGCCTGTTTGCAGATGATGTGATTGTATATTTAGAAAACCCCATCATCTCAGCCCAAAATCTCCTTAAGCTGATAAGCAACTTCAGCAAAGTCTCAGGAAACAAAATCAACGTGCAAAAATCACAAGCATTCTTATACATCAGTAACAGACAAACAGAGAGTCAAATCATGAATGAACTTCCATTCACAATTGCTTCAAAGAGGATAAAATACCTAAGAATCCAACTTACAAGGGGTGTAAAGGACCTCTTCAAGGAGAACTATAAACCACTGCTCAGTGAAATAAAAGAGGACACAAACAAATGGAAGAACATGCCATGCTTATGGATAGAAAGAATCAATATCGTGAAAATGGCCATACTGCCCAAGGTAATTTATAGATTCAGTGCCATCCCCATCAAGCTACCAATGACTTTCTTCACAGAATTGGAAAAAACTGCTTTAAAGTTCGTATGGAACCAAAAAAGAGCCTGCATTGCCAAGACAATCCTAAGTCAAAAGAACAAAGCTGGAGGCCTCACGCTACCTGACTTCAAACTGTACTACAAGGCTACAGTAACCAAAACAGCATGGTACTGGTGCCAAAACAGACATATAGATCAATGGAACAGAACAGAGCCCTCAGAAATAATACTATACATCTACAGCCATCTGATCTTTGACAAACCTGAGAAAAACAAGAAATGGGGAAAGGATTCCCTATTTAATAAATGGTGCTGGGAAAATTAGCTAGCCATAAGTAGAAAGCTGAAACTGGATCCTTTCCTTACTCCTTATACGAAAATTAATTCAAGATGGATTAGAGACTTAAATGCTAGACCTAAAACCATAAAAACCCTAGAAGAAAACCTAGGTAATACCAGTCAGGACATAGGCATGCGCAAGGACTTCATGACTAAAACACCAAAAGCAACGGCAACAAAAGCCAAAATTGACAAATGGGATCTAATTAAACTAAAGAGCTTCTGCCCAGCAAAAGAAACTACCATCAGAGTGAACAGGCAACCTACAAAATGGGAGAAAATTTTTGCAATCTACTCATCTGACAAAGGGCTAATATCCAGAACCTACAAAGAACTCAAACAAATTTACAAGAAAAAAACAAACAACCCCATCAAAAAGTGGGCAAAGGATATGAAGAGACATTTCTCAAAAGAAGACATTCATACAGCCAACAGGCACATGAAAAAATGCTCGTTATCACTAGCCATCAGAGAAATGCAAATCAAAACCACAATGAGATACCATCTCACACCAAGTTAGAATGGCAATCATTAAAAAGTCAGGAAACAACAGGTGCTGGAGAGGATGTGGAGAAACAGGAACACTTTTACACTGTTGGTGGGATTGTAAACTGGTTCAACCATTGTGGAAAACAGTATGGCGATTCCTCAAGGATCTAGAACTAGAAATACCATATGACCCAGCCATCCCATTACTGGTTATATACCCAAAGGATTATAAATCATGCTGCTATAAAGACACATGCACACGTATGTTCATTGTGGCACTATTCACAATAGCAAAGACTTGGAATCAACCCAAATGTCCATCAGTGACAGACCGGATTAAGAAAATGTGGCACATATACACCATGGAATACTATGCAGCCATAAAAAAGGATGAGTTCGTGTCCTTTGTAGGGACATGGATGCAGCTGGAAACCATCATTCTCAGCAAACTATCGCAAGAACAGAAAACCAAACACCGCATGTTCTCACTCATAGGTGGGAATTGAACAATGAGATCACTTGGACTCGGGAAGGGGAACATCACACAATGGGGCCTATTATGAGGAGGGGAGAGGGGGGCAGGGAGGGATGGCATTGGGAGTTATACCTGATGTAAATGACGAGTTGATGGGTGCTGACAAGTTGATGGGTGCAGCACACCAACATGGCACAGGTATACATATGTAACAAACCTGCACGTTGTACACATGTACCCTAGAACTTAAAGTATAATAATAAAAAAAAAGAATTATGCTTGTATTAAGACCCAGTAGGCAAGAAGTTATAGCATTTGAATAAAGAAAAATCTGTTTAACCAGCATTTTAAAAGTAATAACTGGCCAGGTGCGGTGGCTCACGCATCTAATACTAGAACTTTGGGAAGCTAAAGTGGGTGGATCACTTGAGGCCAGGAGTTTGAGACCAGCCTGGCAAACACAGCGAAACCCCATCTCCACTAAAAATACAAAAATTAGTTGGTTATGGTGGCACACACCTGTAATCCCAGCTATTCGGGAGGCTGAGGCAGGAGAATCACTGGAATCCAGGAGTCTGAGGTTGCAGTGAGCCAAGATTGTGCCACTGCACTCTGGCCAGAGTGCGACTGTGTCTCAAAAGAAAAAACAAGTAATAACTAATATTTATTGAGTTATTTAATGTTCCAGGTACTATTATAAACACTTTATGTAAACAATTATGTAACTTTTTTTTGTTTTTTTGAGATGGAGTCTCGCTCTGTCACTCAGGTGCAGTGCAGTGGCATGAGCTTGACTCACTGTAACCTCTACCTCCCGGGTTCCAGCGATTCTCCTGCCTTAGCATCCCGAGTAGCTGAGATTACAGGCATGCGCCACCATGCCAGGTGAATTTTTTTTGTATTTTTAGTAGAGACAGGGTTTCACCATGTTGGCCTGGCTGGTCTCGAACTCCTGACCTCAAGTCATCTTCCTGCCTCAGCTTCCCAAAATGCTGGGATTACAGGCATGAGCCCACATCCAACCTTATGTAAATTTCTATTATGGAGAATTTCACACTTAAGAAATAAAACAAACAAACAAAAAAACCAAAAAGAGCTTACATATGTGCATTATCCACTTTCAACTATTTATCAACATTTGAACATTTTGCTATATCTATTTATCTATCACTATCATTCCTCCCACTCATTCTTTTTCTGGAGTAATTAAATATCAGATGTCCTATAATTCACCGATAAATATAACATTCAAAGCTTTTAATATATATTAGCTATTTTATTCCTTGACAAAAAGTAGATATTGTTATTATTCCCATTTTATGTATGTATAAACTGAGGCAAACAGTATGTGACCCGCGGGGCTCAGGACTCAAACTCTGGAGTCTGACTGCAAAGCTTTCTAAGTATGTCATTTCTGAGATTAGGCTGTGGCTTCTGTCTGGGGTGCCCTCCCTCTATTTCCTGGATCACTAGTTCTTGAGGAAGCCAGCTTACATGTCCAGCAGTACCCCTATGCAGAGGCCTGCATGGTGAGAAAGAGGGCCTCTAGCCAACAGCCAGTTAGGAACTGAGGGCTAACAACAACCACACGAGAGAGCTTGGGAGCAGATTCTCCATCCCTTATGGAGCTTATATTTTAGTGGGCAATATAGATAATGAACAAGTAAACAAATAAGCAAACAAACAAAAAAGATATATATATGTATATGTATATATATATTAGGTAGTTTCAGGTAGTAATTAAGTCATATAAAGAGAAATAAAGGAGTGTGTGATGGAGTGGGAGACACTCTTTTTGATGGAGCAATAAAATAAGGTATATCAGTTCTTTTACTTTTGGTACAAATAAGAGAAAAACCCAACTGAACGTGGCCTAAACCAAAAAGGAAATGTATTATATCACATAACAAATCCAGAGGTAGGAGGGCTCATAGTTAGTAACATAAGGATATCATCAAGAAACCAGGTTCTTTCTACTTTGCCATCCTTGGTATATCAGTTTTGACTCCAAACAAAAGAAAAATAGAAATTCTGGGGCAGAGTAAGTTTTTAGCTGAAAAGATATAATTTGAATACAATTTTAGTGTAAAGTCTTGAGTATTTACACATGTTTATAGGTATATAAAAGGAAGCACAGACTTCTGACGCCTGTGTCTCCAACTAAAGGCAAGGATGGGACCTCTAAAAGCTGAAATCACACATTTTCTCAAGGAAAAATGATTGCTTGGTTTAAACAACCCCTTGGATTGCCAGCTCAAAGTTGGTTGGTTATAGTGGAGTTTGGCACAGCTGACTGTTATGCCCCAAGTCAGTTTGTTGAATCCAGATGTACAGGTACAAATTTATCATCAGGCAGCTTTCCTACTGACTCTGATGAGCTTTCTGAAAAGTGGTTACTCTGGTTCCATCTTCTGGAGCTCTGGTTATACAGTGTGCAAATCTGAATGCACATACTCAAAGTTCAGCAAAAATTTATTGTATTCGTCTCTTCATGGATGTAAGATGGCTGCAGCAGTTCTAGATGTCAGCTCCAGATACACAATATTAAAGGGCTATCTTGTATTATGCTATAACACAGTGATCTATTAAGTCTTCATTAATCCCTTTCAGCAGTTAAGACTGGATATATACAAGATATAACGTACTGAATTAAAAATGCAACATTCTTTTACCCTCTAGCAGTGAAGCAGTAAAATACTGCTCAGAGTGAGAATCATGGGTAGGTCTAATTATGCAGGAACAGGAGATTCTAAATAAGTGGCCAAAGAAATTCATTTTGCATCAGATTATCTTCTTTTCCAGGCAAATGTTGTTTAGGGGCTGTGTTTACGTAGCAAATAATCCCTGAAGTCCAGGGCTGTTGTGTGATTACTGAACATCTTAAAGAGCTTACTTCCCTGCACCGCCTCCCCTACAAGATCCATGTCAAGTCCTGTCGAACTACCTGTACAATACTTGAGGAGGAAAGTGGGCTTTCAGCAACCACACACTTGGGATAAAAGTAGAAAATAAAGGCCAGAAATCATGGCCATTTCCTCCAGAGAAAATACCAGAACATATTTAAACTCAGGGGTGGTATGCTATCTCTGGGGAATTTGCCCTGAGACTATTTTGATACATGAATTAGGAGTATGTTTGGTGACAGTTTCAACATACTACATATGCTTTTTATAATTTGGAAAGAGTGGAGAAAACAGGAAGGGATTGTTAGCCTAGAAAAAAGTTTGAAGGAGTGAGGTGGGATCTAGGGGCCACACAGACAGACCAAGCCGGTTTCATGAGTTTACCTGGGGCCAGGTTGAAGTGGTTCCTTTCAAAGCGCCTGTAACTGGTTGAACCACATCTCTGCCTCAAGTTTTCTGTAAATTTCATTCATTATTGCAAGTGGCTTGCTATCACCTAATTCAATTCTTCTTCAATGAATCTGTGAATTAAGAATGAATGAATCTTAATTCTTGAATGAATTAAGCCATGAATGATGGCTTAAACCAGTTTCATGTTGAATGTCCCTTCCTGGTTTAGTTCATGTTTTGGGGACTCTCTTTTGCATAAGCAGCAATATATCCCTTTTAAGATATTTAGAAGCTTTATAGTCCAGTTTAAATTTTGGTTAGCGAGTTATACAGTTTAGATGGGCAAAGCAGATACAATGCCAGCATAACATTTATTCATTCAAGAAATGTTTACTGAGTGCCTGCTGTGTGCCATAAATAAGACAGCTGTCTCTTTAAGGTTTTAATAATACCTGTTTAGCAATTATTCTTTATCGCTACTGGAGCTGATAGATGCTGTCTGGCACAGTAGAATTTATTTTAGGAATATATGCATATTAATCATGTTTCTGACCTATAACATAATAGCTCATACTCATCAACATTCAAATACTTTTATTCGACCAGCCTGGGCAACATGGTGAAACCCTGTCTCTACCAAAATTAGCTGGGCATGGTGATACACGTTTGTAGACCCAGCTACTAGGGAGGCTGAGGTGGGAGGATCGCCTGAACCTGGGGAGGTGGAGGCTGCAGTGTGCCGAGATCACACCACCACACTTCAGCCTGGGCAACAGAGCGAGATCCTGTCTCAAAAAAAAAAGAAAAGGCTAGAGTACAGTGGTGTGATCTTGGCTCATTGCAGTCTCTGCCTCTCCAGGATCAGGCAGTCCTCCCACCTCAGCCTCCTGAGTAGCTGGAATTACAGGCACATTCCACCAAACCTGGCTGATTTTTATATTTTTTTTTTTGGTAAAGACAAGGGCTCATTATGTTGTCCAGGCTGGTCTAGAACTCCTGGACTCAAGGGATCCGCCCTCCTCAGCGTCCCAAAGTGTTGGGATTACAGGTGTGAGCCACCATGCCTGGCCAAAATTTAAAAAAAAAATTTGAAACCGGCCGGGCGCAGTGGTTGACGCCTGTAATCCCAGCACTTTGGGAGGCCGAGGCGGGTGGATCACGAGGTCGAGATCGAGAGTCATCTTGGCCAACATGCTGAAACCCCGTCTCTACTAAAATACAAAAACTTACCCGGGTATGGTGGCATGTGACTGTAATCCCAGTTACTTGGGAGGCTGAGGCAGGGGAATCACTTGAACCTAGGAGGCGGAGGTTGCAGTGAGCTGAGATCACGCCACTGCACTCCAGCCTGGCGACAGAGCAAGACTCCGTCTCAAAAAAAAAAAAAAAAATTGAAATTGAAATCATACACGCAGGCTCACACATATAGACAAAACCCTCTTTTGACCCACCCGTTTCTACTCTCCTTTCCTTACCACAGAGTTGCTATTCCTGCCATCTTTACTTTCCACCCTCTTGGGCCCACTTAGATTAGGCTTTCACTCCACCAAAATTGCTCTTGAAGGTTGCCCTTAATGATACCAAATTTAATAATCAAATTTCATTCTTCCTAACAGCACTTTGCATGGTTGATCATTCTCTCTTTTTTGAAATATTTTCTGTACTTTGGACTCCATAACACCATTTTCTTATGGTTCTCCTATGGTTCCGGCTGCTCTGTCTCCTTTGCTGGTTCCTCTTCGTTTACTTGACCTCTAAATATTGGAGGGACCTGGGCTTATATACTGGTGTTTTGTTTTTTTGTTTTTATCTGCCTATCTTATGATCTCATCCAGTCCTACGAATTTTTTATCTTTATTTTTCAATTTTATTTTGTTAAAATAATACATATACATTTAAAAGGTTAAGCAGTATCAAAAAGGTTATGATAAAATGCAGCATTTCCCTTCCCCATCCCTCCTTCCTTTTTTCCCTCCTTCCTAGAGATAACTACTTTTTTATGCTTCTAGTTCTCTCTGGCATTTATACCTCTACCTAATTTGTAAATAATAGGCATATACTACCTTTAGCTATTATCTATCAGCTTCATATTGTAGTAGATGAGAACTTGTCTGTCTTACAATGCCATTCTGTCCTCTGCTATCCTTAATCTTCTCAATACAGTTATATTACAATAGTTGGTCAAATCAATAATCAGTGTTTACATTATTACATATATGTGAATATAATTCCCAGCAGTGTCGCATTGTTTTATGATTGTGTTTTTGATACATCTTCCAGTTTGCTATCTGCTGGAAACCCATTCACCGTTCTTAAACTTGATTTATGGTTTCTTTCCGTTGTCGAATCCAATCTGATTCTTTTTAAAACATGCTCTGTTGCTTGTTATAGTTTCCAGTTTCCTGCTGAAATTTTCAAGCATAACTTCTGTGTCCTTTAACATAGTAAATATAGTTGTTTTATTATTTGTGTTTAATAATTGCAATATCTGGATTCTTTCTGGGCTGTTTGACATCACTTATTTCTGTTGGTTCTTGTTTTTGTTATCTAGTCTTATGGGTTCTAGTTAGATTCTCTGGGCCCTTAATCTGTCTTTCTATATTTAGATTTATTCCCTATTTGGTGAAGCATATCCATCAAGTTAAAAGTATGTTACAATGGCAGAAACATGGTAAGGACAGCAGTTGACATGGCTCTCTCTCATATCACACTGCCCCAATCAGGACTGCTGTGCAGTTGTCATTTTAACATCACAACTTCACCACCAGCATGGCGAGTCTTTTCCTTTTCTCTGTGTTGAATCTCTTACGTTCTGTATTCCGTATTTTCTTCTTTCTCAGATGACTCTCTCATCTTAGTACAGGCAATGTGATTGTGTGATGTAGTAGACGGAATACTGGTTCCCTAAAATGTCCACATTCTAATCTCTAAAACTTACGAATATGTTTCCTTAAATGGCAAAAGAGACTCTGAAGATATGATCACATTAAGAATGTTTAAATTGGGAGATTATCCTGGATTATTTGGGTGGCCACATGTAGTAATGAAGGTCCATATAATAAGATAGTAGGAGGTATATGTGTGCATGTGTATGTATGTATCAGAGAAAGAGACAGACAGAGACAGTGAGAGAGAGAGAGGAGAGAGCTGCGCTGGTTTTAAATATGGATGTATGAAGGAAGGGACCACAAGACAAGGAACACAAGCAGCCTCTGGCAGCAAGGAAGATAAGGAAATGGATTCTCCTCTAGAGCCTCTGGAAGGGAAACAGTCCTGCTAACATCTTGATTTAGGAATTCTGATCTCCAGAATTGTAAGAGAATAAATTTGTGTTATCTTAAGCCACTAAGTTTGTAGCAATTTGTTATAGCAGCAAAGAAAATCAAAATAAATGATAATTTTTTCAGATTTTTTTTTTTTTTGAGACAGAGTCTCACTCTGTCGCCCAGGCTGGAGTGCAGAGGCGTGATCTTGGCTCACTGCAACCTCCGCCTCCTGGGTTCAAGCAATTTTCTTGCCTCAACCTCCCAAGTAGTTCGGATTATAGGCGCCCACTACCACACCTGGCTAATTTTCATATTTTTAGTAGAGACAGGGTTTCACCATGTTGGCCAGGCTAGTCTCGAACTCCTGACCTCAAGTGATCTGCCCGCCTTGGCCTCCCAAAGTGCTGGGATTACAGGTGTGAGCCACCATGTTCGGCCTAATTTTGTTCAGATGTTACAAGTGTCTATAGTCAATCTTCACATTGCCAGTTTGGTTGGTTATAGGATTCTAGATTGGAAGGCATTTTCCATCACATTGAAGATACTCTTCCATTGTCTTCTTCCTTCAAATGTTGCTGAGAAGCCCAGAGTCATTTTTATTATCATTCCTTGTACATGGCCCATTTTTTTCCCTCTCTCTAGACACTTAGAACATTATCTCTTTGTCTCTAATGTTCTGATATTTCACAATGTATGGGCCTATAAGAGTAGAAAATTCCATGTCAGAAACCTGATGCTTTAAAATTCCATAAATATAACAAAAACACAAGCAAAAAACTGGGGAAAATATTTGCAACTTGAAAAATAAAGAGTTATTACTCTTACAATAGAAAGTAATCTTAGAAGAAAAAATAAATTCTCCAAAAGAAATGTTCAAAATAGCAATTTAAAAGAGTACATCTGTAGGTCTAGAACCGAAAGGGAAAAAAAGGAAAAAAGTACAAAAGTGTACCAAAAATCAGCTAAGAAACAAGTAAAAAAAACCATATCCTTACTAGAAATAAAATAAATGCAAATTAAAACTGTGAGAAACAATTTTTCACCTTTTTAATTGGTGAAGATTAAAAAAACCTCAAAATAGCTAATGTTGGTTAGATTTCAGTACTTTTATACACTGTTGTTAGAAATGCAGTCAATCATCTTTTCTAGATGAGGCAAAATTTCATAAGCCAGATCAAAAGCTTTTAAAAATGTCTACATTAGGCCAGGTACAGTGGCTCAGGCCTGTAATCCCAGCATGTAGGGACTGAGGTGGGAGGATCACTTGAGCCCAGGAGTTGGAGATCAGCCTGTGCAACATAGTGAGACCCTGTCTCTACAAAAAATAAAACAATTAGCTAGGCATGGTGGATATGCCTATAAGTCCTAGCTGCTTGGGAGGCTGAGGCAGAAGGATCATTTGAGCCCAGGTGTTTGAGGCTACAGTGAGCTATGACTGCACCATTGCACTCTACCCTGGGTGACAGAGTGGGACTCTTGTCTCAAAAAAAAAAAAAAAAAGAGTACTTGGAATTTATTGCAACAAAATACTAATGAATGACACATGAGCATAAAGAGTTAGCTACCATCTTGGCCATTTTGTTTACAACATTAAGAAAGTGGAAACAGGTCAGGTGGGGTGACACATCTGTAACCCCAGTGCTTTAGGAGACTGAGGCAGAAGGACTGTTTGAGGCCAGGAGTTCAAGATCAGTCTGGGCAACATACTGAGACCCCCATCTCTACAAGGAATTTGAAAATTAGCTGGGCATGGTGGTGTCTGCCTGTAGTACTAGCTACTTGGGAGGCTGAAGCAGGAGGATCATTTGAGCTCAGGAGTTTCATGCTACAGTGAACTATGATTGCACCACTGCATTCTACTCTGGGTGATGGAGTGAGACCCTGTCTCTCTTAAAAGAGAAAAGAAAAAAAAAAAAAAAAAGAGCAGAAACAACCTAAATACTCAACAACAGAAAATTGGCTGAAATCACTCCCATGGCAATGGGATGTTTCAGCAGTTTTAAAGCTAATAAAAAGGCCACTAGCCTGAGGTTGTCTCTGCACTCTGAGCCTTTACATAAGCAAGCTGAAGCCTTATGTATGTATGTATGTATGTACGTATTTTTATGAGATGGAGTCTCACTTTGTCACCCAGGCTGGAGTGCAGTGGCATGATCTCAGCTCATCGCAATCTCTGGCTCCTGGGTTTAAGCGATTCTCCTGCCTCAGCCTCCCGAGTAGCTGGGATTACAGGCACACGCCACCACACTGGGCTAATTTTTTGTATTTTTGGTAGATGGGGTTTCACCACGTTGGCCTGGTTGGTCTCAAACTCCTGACCTCAAGTGATCGGCCTGCCTCAGCCTCCCAAAGTGCTGGGATTGCAGGTGTGGGCCACTGTGCCCAGCCCAAAGCCTAATTTAGAGGTATTTCTTACAACTGACTTAAATAGACAAACAAAAATACAGCCCTAACCGATCACAAACAGCCATTGAGTGAACTGGCTATATAACTAGGGGTCTCCCATCAGACTATACCCAAATAAGGCAAACACTTAGCTGTAGCAATTCAGGTAATTTATTTACTTTGCTTCTGTGTTCAGCCTATAAAAGGTAGTTGCTTTCAGAGCACAGCCCATAACCTCTTTTGGTCTTGGTGCTTCCCAATTCATGAATCATTCTTTTACTCAAATAAGTGTGTTAATTTCATTTAAAGGTGTTTTTTTTTTTTTTTTTTAAAACAGCTAGATATAGTATTAAATTTACCATATAGAAAGTGGTCAGTATTGGTAAGAGGTTGACTCATGGGGAACTGAAATTAGATTTGGTGAGAAAAAAAATCTGCACTCTGTCCATCATTTATTAATAGAATGTTTTCTCACTAGAGATGAACTATTTCTACTTCTAAATGTTGAGGAGATACAAAGAAAGGCTTTTGGCTAGACATGGTGGCTCACACCTGTAATCCCAGCACTTTGGCAGGCTAAGGCAGGAGGATCACTTGAGTCCAGGAGCTCAAGGCCAGCCTGAG